CTTGCGCAACGTCCTGCGGATGGCCCCGGGCCGCGGCGAGGGAGGCCCTGGATGCTGTCCTGGAGCTCTCCCGGAGGAGCCCCAAGCAGCACGCAGGGCTGCCAGTCTGGGAGCGCTTGCGTAAGCGCTGGTGCGAGCGCCGCGCAGCTCGGCCGCTACCACGCGGCCAGCCAGGGGAGGCGGGGGGAGAAACAGCGCCGAGCACAAACCGCTTCCACCTTTAAATCCCTTGAAAACATTTTTCTTCTTCCTCCTCTTCCCCCTCTTTTCCTCTGAGGCACCGCCACGCAGTCGCTCATTTTTGGTGCTTTTATTTCTGTGACATTCGCTGGCATGAAAGGCTTGGATCCGTCCAGTCGGCTCTGCTTGCATCCTACGTAGGTCCCAGAGTTGCAGCTTTTCTTCCTTTTGCTCCCCTGGAACAAAAGAGCTATTCACGCGCCAGGCCCTTTTGCTCCGGCTGCGGTCTGATCCGTGCCACGTGCACGGGCGCCCACGGGCGCCGGGACGGGGTAGGGAAGGAGGTGCTGGAGCGTCCCAGCTTGGGCTTTGGGGAGCTGGAATCGAGCGTGCCAGGGAAAAGCAGCGGGGCAGCCTTGGGCTTGCGTGAAACGCCGAGCGTCACACTTAGAGATGCACATGGTTATCTGTGTTTCTTTGGCATGCCTGCTGGCTAAATGCAACGAGATTAGTGCCTCTAATACACATTTTTATTAATGGTTTGACTGGCACTGAAATTGGATGTTACAATTTAGGTTTTTTCCTTCCACAAACAAGAACTTGTTTTCACTCTTGTGGGCTTTAGCACATCCCTCGGAAAGCTTTGCATTCAAATTCCTGTTTACTGGTAAGATGCATTCCAATTCAGCTGCAAGGGAGAAAATAGCCTTTCTTGTCTCCAATCGTGTGACCAGAAGATAATGCCAGGAACGAGAATTTGTATATTGAGCGAGGTCAAATTTCATTGATTTAACATAGAAAAGACTATTAGACAGGCATGGTTTAAAAAAAATAAAATATAATAATAAAAAAAAAATCTGCCCCTGGTTTCACACAGTTGACCTTTCGACTCTGCTTCGTGTGGGAGACGGCAGGAGGAGGAGATGGCTTGAGTGCATGTCCTTTAGGTACCGTAGTAGGAGCTCTGGGTGTGTGTTTTGGGGTGGGCTTTTTTTC